CCGGTGAAAACGTAAAACCGCCATTTCTCCGCCAATATTTAGCCTTTTTCAAAATTTTTTTCAGAAATTAGAGATTATTCTTCAACCACTATTTTGACCTAAAAATCCAAATTTGAAGAAAATTGCCGACCCGAAGGTATACTGTAACCTTAAAGATAAATATATTAATATTTTTTAATCCTTCAACTTTGTATAGTCAAAAGACTGCAATTGTACAGGTCAGGGAAGCAAAATCAGCATTGCTCTAATATGAAACTGGAAAAGTGTGCTACAGGCCAAAATGATCTCTACTCACACCATTTACATTTACAATTTTCATGACTACATGTACAAGAGGCTATCAATACATCATTAATTTCATATTGAAGAAATTTCAAGACCTTTCAAGGGTACAGGTTCTCCTTAGCTACTCAAACATATGAATTAATGCCTCACCTCTTTTTAAAAATTCAACATTCCTTTTATATTCATAGTCGGCAGATGTTGTAGGCTCTCTTTTGTATGACAGATGAGGACTACCATTGACCAGTGATGAGCTAGGAGATCCAGACCTTGGAGCACTGCAGAGTGCAGAAGCACATTGATCAATAAAACAAATAACAGCATACTTCAACACTTTGAAGTTTTCCAAAACCCACACTTCTGCTTAGCCTCCATAGCAGTTGTTTCAAGCCCAAGCACATGAAAGGTGAACAAAAAGCAAAGGCTTAGGGCACAAAATGACAAAAAATAGGAAGGAAGGAAGGAAGGAGGGGCAAGGAAAGTTTTCTTCCCTTCCTTGCCCCTCTCTCTTTCCTATTTGTTTTAGTCACTTTCATGCCCTAAGTCTCTGTATACCTCCCAAACTCTTACCTCATGCATGCTTGAGGGGGATACGACTGCTATGCAGGCAATCTTGATGTTAAGCGGGGAACAAATGAACATGTGATGGCCTCTAATGATCTTGGAACTTGGTTTATGTGCAAATGTGCATCAATTATCATCTGTGGTTGGTTGTTTACAAATTCATTCATGGATGCCAAGGTGACGAGTGTAGTGGTATGACAACAGCTAAGCTATGTTTTTCTTTTGCAATTGACATTTTTTGACCAGGAGTAATCGTAGATTAGGGAGTGCCTTTGGTATGTTGTATGGCTGCTGTCTGACCAGGAATGTTACCCTTCATTTGTGTTCCGATGTGCATGAGGTGTTAACTTCTCAAGAGTAAATTACAAGTAAATATCTGTGGGATGTGTACTTATTAATTCTTTGACTCATAGAATCAGTAAATTTGAGTCATGACCCAAAATCTTGCCATTTGCCACCACCGAGCTACATAATTTGGTGGGTGTAAGACTTATTATCTTGATCGAATCACTTCGGAGCAAAAAATCTCGCTTTTTCTCACTGACATAAGTCACAAGGAGACAGAGACAACATTAGAATGCATTCTCGTTACTCTCCAATGCAATTAGAATAGTTTTCATGCAGTCATAACTTTGATATTTCAAACTACTGTCTTTTTATAGTTAAATATTTAGGGTTTACTGTCAAAAAGATCCCAGGACTTCAATTTTTGTGGAGTTAGTGCCAAGTGCTGACTTACTTACTCACCCCAGTTATAGGCAGCATTCCTTTGGGGTGATCTGAATTAGGATCAGTGATCCCAGATCACTCGGATCATAGTTCATCAAAGGAACCAATGAATCCGCGACCAGAGTGGGTTCATCGGTTCCTTTGATGTACCATGATCTGAGTGATCTTGGATCACTGATCCTGATCCAGATCATCCCAAAGGAACGCACCCTATATACATGAATTTTAGATTTTGACGAATGGGTAACAGGTGAAATAAGAGAATTAACAATTCACTTGCCCAGTTAATCATACATAAGCTTATCTTATTGTGCTGCATTTAAAATAATCAGCCACCACTTTACGATCTGGATCGGACCAGATGCTAGAAGGAACTACACAAAACAATCCTTCTGAAATTACACAGATTTGTTCCGAAATCAGCGATATCCATAGGCCTGTGAATTTCCGTGCTTTGACGGAAAATAAGCGTATGTTGAGCATGTTTAAAAGTAAAGAAATTTACTAACGTTCTCCAATTTTGATCCATTTGACGTTCCACGTTCACATTTCTTTGTCCTAAATCAAGTAAATCGAAAACATCATTATTGGCTACAAGCCTTTGAGATTGCAAAGATGGAATAGAATCGTTCACGTCACCCGAAAACTCGGCAATTCAAATTACCTCTCCGCCTTCCGTGTCCAAAGTGTGCCGCCATTTTGTTTTCAAACTTACAAACCGACCGCGGGCGCGCTTCACCTTCCCCCTCACGTGAGAAGACGAACAGTTGCTAGGGAACTGCCCATTCTCGTCCCCATAGTCCTTTCGCTTCTCTTAGCAAACGCAGTGGGGCCTTGGCTAAGCTCCATTACCAGCCGCTGTTCGCGAAAGGACTCCGCGCTCCTTCCCCGAAGCTTCTCGGGAGCAGGTAGACCGAACTCGAGAGAGTGGCGGAAATCGCGCCTAAAAACGTGTCAAGGCCAACTGAGAGAGGCGAAAAAGATTGGGGACGAAAATGGGTACCCACCCAGAGTTTGGGCCGAGTTGGGGTGGGTTTGCGGCCGGGGTTTGCGGTACTAGCTGTAAAGAATACTAAGAATGCGTATTTTGGTTTCCTTTCTCTTTATCTTTTGTTGTAACGTAAGAGGCTGTGACAGCCTGCAGAATAAGTGTTGTTGTTGTTGTTGTTGTTGTTGTTGTTTAGCCGATAGTGAGGCCATTTTAGGGTTTTCGGGATATGGGACTTGGGTAAAAAATTAACTGGAGAGAAGACATTTGGGGGAAAAATTAATGAGATATTTGCCTCGGAAAAAATCGGATTATTAAAAACTGGACCATTGGATAATGCAATTCGAGAGTTTTCATTGGCTTAGCCATCATTGGTTATGAGTCATTATACCATGCTCCACAAATATGGTAAGCAAACGCGTGAATTTTGGGGGTTTTTATTTTTATTTTGGTCTAGTTTAGTAAAACAATTATTCCATTCGCGCTTGTTGGATATGAGCTGACTATGGTCAAGTTAGCGATACGCGCCTCGTTGACTATCTACCATCTTATATCCAACGCGCTCTCATGGAATAATTGTTAAACATCGAGTAGGAAAATCCTTAAATTTGAAACTGGAATAAATGAAATGTCCATGGGATATTTAGGCCAAGCATCATTCCCAGACCCCCCCACTCTCTAATGGGGCCTTCATAGCGAGGCAGAGTCGCCAACGCTGGGACTCAAATGAGACGTGGATCCGAAAATGAGCTAGATTGAGCCCGGCGCGAGGAAAAATCCGAAGAGCCTCCAGGAATAAGAGAGCTTCAGTTCATACGATTCCCACCGATTCACCAACAGAGTCACCAACGCTGGGACTCAAATGACATGTGACTCAAATGAGACGTGAATCCGAGAATGAGCAAGACTGAGCCCTGCGCGAGGAAAAATCCGAAGTGCCTCTAGGAATAAGAGAGCTTCAGTCCATATGATTCTCACAGAGGTCGGTTTAATAACAATTTATTTTTTATTTACAACAAGACCGGACACATTGAATAAACTTCCGTTGTCATCATTCTCTCCAGTTTGGAGGCAGCATTATTTACAAACTCATTTGACCAACTCCGCTTCGGATCTTCGGATAAATATGTACACAATCTCATTTCAACGCTCTACGCAGACATTACAGTCATCGACTCAGGTTGCACAGGCCAGTTAGGTTAGGCAGTGAGCCTACTGTCCATTTTTCCAGTGGGTGTTCCCTTTTGAACCGCGCGAACTGACAGGCTTGAAGCACCAGTCTCTCGCTTTCAGAGTCGTTGAATTGGAAGTTTGGTGCCCCGTGTTGCTTTTCTGTCGAGTCGTCGATTGCAGGAGAGCTGGAAAGACAGATAAGAAGAAGTTAATTGGATCGAAAAAGAAAAATCAATACCAGTAAGACGTCTACGCAGTGGTACGTAGAGGTAAATAATTTAATTTGAAAAAAGAAAGAAAAAACCCAGCAAATCTTCCATTTTGCTTCAGCCCCTGCCTCAGATCTGACATGTCTGAGATGCTAATGACTTTGATACTTTTCTTTCCATCAGTCATAAAAACTACAGCATACGGCCTGAGGAAATTGCATTAATCATGAATGACTCTCCTACCTTGAAGCCTTGAAAGGCTGCTGGGGTTTGTTATTCCTAGCAAGCAGTTTTATTTCCTCAAGGTAAATCTGCTCCTCCAGAGATTGGATTTGTTGCTCCATTTGAGCTTTCATCTCTGTTAACTTCGCCCTCTCGGACGCAGACATGGAACTACGAAACCCATGCTTCCTGAAAGAGATGAAAAACGACTTATTAATAAC